TATGTAATACATGTATTAATTTTCTATTTTTAGTACAACTTGTGCACATGACTTTTGGTCTAAATTTTATACACTGACGATCTGTGATACAAGTATATATGATGATTGACATTAATTATAAAAATGCAGGGTTATAGAGTAATAGTAAAAATGTTTTTTTCTCAATCTAGTTCTTTTTCATATTAGCTTGACTAATTACTTTATGACAAAACATAAATAAGTTTCTCCTAGACTCATTTCTATTGGATTTATAATATCTCGACTTCACTATGATGCATTTTCTTATAAGTGGTGGTTAATTAGTACTAATGCTAATAATATTAACGAACTTTATCTAATACGTGTTGGTTTAAGCATTGTTATTGAATTAAATGACGTTCAATTTTACTTGAAAATTATTGAAGGTAACAAAAATAATGCTTGTTTACCCGAATATCTTTATTAAGCAAATGGCAAATCAAGTGACATTGAAGAAACAACAAGTGTTGTATTAACAAATTTGTATCAACAAATCTTTTCAACAAAAACAAAATTTTCTGGACTGCGTGAGTTTGGATTAAATAATCAATCAATTATTCTTGAACATCTTTTAGAGGGTATTAATTTTTGGCCTTTTTTTGTTTATTTTGACAAATTTCAAATTTTTGTATATAATATTGAAAGTTCAAGTCAGGATGGTTATGAAGGTGCGAGTTGTGGGTTTATGTCATTACTTAGCATCAAGAGAAAAAGAAAGATTTTTTATGAACAAAAAATAACTGAAAGTTTTTGTATTGTTCGAGTATTTGAAGAATTTTATAAAAAAGAAGTATTCAAAGGAAAAACTCCCAATGATGTTTGGAATAAAATTGACTTATTTCCTATGTTTGGTGGAAAAAATCTTTTTGGATTAATGGATCCAAGAACTCAACAAATTATAAAAAAAAAATTTCGTCCAGCATGTCAACCTAAAGAAGAATCTAATTTAGAACCATTGTATTTACATTTTCTTAAACATCATACACATACCAATATTCAGTAGTATAAAGTTTTTTCTGATTGGAATAAACAAACAAGTGATATTATTGAATTAAAATCAGCTTTAAAAAGTATTTATATGTCTGATTATGTATTTAAACTATGAGAACTTCGTGCTTAGCGTGCTTTATTAAAAGCAGTAGGATGTTTTAATGTAATACCTTATTCACTTGATAACCAATTGGTAATGTATAGTTTAATAACAATTCATAATTTTTTTTAATAAAAAAAATTATAATATTTTATTTTCTAATTTATTTTATAATCTACTATAATTAACGTACCATTTTGATTAAGTTCTTTGAGATAAATTTTAAATTGACTATTTAGATATACTTTTCGCATTAAGTGGGTCATATAATAAATTAATTTATCTTAATTAACTAAAAGAGATTCCAAATGGTCTTATCCTAAATATTCTTCGAGTTGCTTAAAAATTAACCAAAGATTTTCACAACTTGAACAACAGTCATATATAAGTCTTTATATATACCTAACGAATATGTAAGACACAGATAAATCCCGTTCAAATTCTCTTTTTATATAGTGATGTAACATTTCAATTTGACTAATTATATTTGATTAATAAAAAATTTTTATTAGAAATTTTATTATAAAAAAAAATTTCAAAATATATTTAAATATAATTACTTTTTTATCTGAAATTCTAATATTTAAAGATATTAAACCAATCAAATCATTAAAAACATCATAACCATAATTACAACAGGTTGAACATAATCCACCTAAATCTTCTCAATATTGATATCTTCCTTTTGCTAATTCTGCCATAAATGTTGTTCTTTTAATTCCATTTGGAAAAATTTCTGAATATTGTTCCCAAAGAGCAGATTTTGTATTTTGAAGATAAAGAATTGGTAGATCAGTTTTAGCATCTACTTTATATGAACTCATTGTAACAATTTCTTTATTAAAAAAAAAAATTTTAATTTGTTTATTAGCTTTATCTGATATGCAGTTTTGTGTAATTGATAGTTGTTCTATAGGAGAACATCCTGGTCTATTAAGTCGTGCATACTTTCGGGCTTCATTCAAGGTATATGATGTTGTTTTTATCTAAATTATTAATGTCAATATATTAATAAATTAACACAAATCAATAAAATACAATCAAAATC